GTTCTAACCGATCTATGTAAACGTGTGCATATGAATTCGAAACATCCACAGAAATGATGCTGATCGTGGTCTTTTATTTCTCCGTATTGGATTGTTCAGTCCATTTTCGCCAATCCAAGGAATGACAGCAAAGGTAGAAAAAGTTGAAAAAACGTTTTACAGAGGCGATGAACCTCCGAGGAGAGGTTATTTTGGACTATACAACTTCATCACCTTTCTATGCTCACCTTAGAACTAGGCTGATTGTTACGGTTTTTCCCCAGTTCGAGGAGCATTGGAATATTTGATAAAGATTCAAAACAACGCAGTTATGAACGTTCGCAATTTATCGTAACTAATGGGCTTTATATGAAGCAAATGCTACCGTCGTTGTATCCTCCTCCCTAAGAAACAGATAGGGTCTGGATATCAACCGGATGGTGAATCTTACCCAAGCAATATCGATCCATTGGGCAATAATCTGAGCACGTTTATGTTCCGCTTCACAGAATGTTTCCATCGCACTGTTTGTGGACACTCCCGAGTCCGGTGAGCGGACATTCTTATTTGACCAGACCGCAACAGCCAGCGGTGCTTTGCAATCCGGAGAGACCGGGGACTGACGCATCCCGTTGATCGGATCTTTCGGTGAGCCTGGACCGATACGCAGTATGGAACACTGGACCACATTGACCACACGATTGAATTGATCCACTGTGGCCGTGTACGTTGGACACGGTCGATTGCGCACATTGTTCAACAATTCCGGCAGGAGTAAGTTGAGAAACAGACCCTAAATGAGATTGAGATAGTTCGATGAAATCACAAACAAAACAGAAGGTCCACCTCAGGTGCAATGAATGAATGAATGAATGCCAATTAGCCTGGATAACGTGTTGCATGAATTGACTGTTGTGCATTGGCTTGTAAATGTGTTGACTGTTTTAGCAATCAAATTGTTGCGCAATCGTTTCGTCATCGTTACTCGTGACAATCCACACTCAATCGATATCGGACTGTACGATAAAAACAGAGGTAAAGATCATTTCGATACTACAAATGAGTCGGATAGAATAAGGCGAGATGAGTAAGTTAGTCAAGAAGGTGCTCTAATTCATATGTGGATGTTACAAGATCATTACCTCTCTTATTCCTAAAGATGATGACTTATTTAACAGAAGAACCTTCGCAAATTCCGTCACACCATGTGCAATTCTTGGTCGTTCGACTGTGTTCGCGTAAGCATGAGAAAAGCACATACTGATCAGACGCACCGGACAACAGTTTTCAACCCGCAATGGTCAATACGATAAGATATTAGATTTCTATGTAACCATGAACAGCGAGGAAGCTTTCGAAGCTTTCAAATCGTGGACTTTGATTTGTGTTCGAACATTCGAAAACATACACAGTGCATGTCAAAATTATGATACTACTAGAATATTTTTAATCCGACCTCTTTAATCAGAATACTTCAGTGGGATCTTTTTCATACGCTGATCATCAAGGCAACGGTAAATCGGAATAATTAAAACTATGTAGTACTTTACTTTGCAGAAAAAAAACTATTATTCGCTAATACATCAACAACAAGGTCCGTGTACCACTAATACCAAGTCACTCGACCCAGCTGCACACGGCCAGTTTCCTTTGGTCCAAGACGTCAACATACACACGCTTGATGCACACAGCTGATCATCATTTCGCAAACTGGAATGTTAATATATTTGCACTCCATGTTCGAGGCAACCTTTAGTTCCCCGAACGGAACTAAGCTTCGTGTCGTTTTGATAGCACCCAAACTCCCAGAGGTTCTCATTCTAATTGTGACCGGGGATTGAAGCGGGCAACTCCCGACGGTGAATTGTACAATGCTGTGAAAACGTATGAAACATGCAAAAACATGTGATATATGACGTGTGTAATACAGCGTTATCTTGTTTTGAGTAGACACCTTCCTATGCATTATCTCGTTGTGCTGATTAGCTAGCTATAGGACACATTCACGTGCCAGTTATGGCATTTCATTCGTTGCTCAGGGCCACCAACTACGGCAGTGTTGGCCCACAGTATAGTTTATTGCTGTTCATGATATCGCCTATCTGATTCGACTGTTTCCCGTCCTGATGTTACACCATGAGTGATATGATGTGAATGATCAGATCCATTGAGGTTTTACGGTACCTCTGCAATAAATATCGCTTCCCGTTATTCAGGTGTCTAAAACCCCCTTTTGACCTTTAGGCTCACTGTCACTGATACGGAATTCGAAACTGACCAAGAGAAACTACCCACCGTGTAATCCTGTACTTCAGCAATGTAGTCATTCGTGTCTGTTGTACATATATAACTTCTTGAGGTTGCGAAAACAAATTTCATCGTAACTGCTCCGTGACGGAATATTCTTTTGAAAGCGCGCACCAGTAAATGAATGAGTTAATTATGAAACTTTCAACGTATCATACCAATTCCTGTGTGGAATTGGCGGGG